TTTACTTTTTATTTCTTCCTCTAACTTGGTTAAACGTTGAAAAATATCAATTTTGCCTTTAATATCTTTTTGCTTGCCCTCCAAAGTGGCTTGGTTATAGAGATAATGACGACTGCCATTCATTCCTTCGTTGGCGACAATAATTTCTTTGAGTAATCGTTCTTTGTTCTGGCAGTAGTAGACATGGTGGGAAGCCACCACGGGAATTTTTAATTCTTCGGCAGTACTAATTATCTTTTTTGTCATTTCTTTTAATTCAACTTCGCTGATTTGCCCGTTCAACCATAAATAACGAAAAGTTTGGAGGTTATTTACTTCCACATAATCATAAAAAAGCAATTTTTCTCGTTTTTTGGCGGCAAAATTAAAAGAACTAAACAAGGCAAAAGTCTCCCCTTCCCGACCGCCAGCAGCACCAACTAAAAGCCCCGTGCGATATTTTGCTAAATCGGAGCGAAAAATAGAGGGTTTTTTGAATAATCTTTCGGTGTGAGAAAGGGTTATTAGACGATAAAGGTTGTGTAATCCTTCTTGGCTGGCAGCCAAAACTTTCACTTTGTAGCCCCGATTAGGAAAAAAGTCGTCCTTAATTAATTCTTGAACTTGTCCTCATTGATTAATTTTATTTTCTTTGAGAGTTTTCAGTAATTTTTCTAGCAACTCGGTCAACAATTTACTATCGTCAAGAGCCCGGTGGGTTTGGATCACTTTGGCTCGACCGGGTACGTGGCTCAATCTTTCTAGGCTGTACGATTTTCGATCCGGAAATAATATTCAAGACAAAGGCAGAGTATCCAGTACCGGATAGGGCAGTTCGTTCCCCAAATGTTCTTTTCAGACTTTGTTGAGAAAACCATAGTCGAACTTTCCGGCATTATGAGCCACTAAAACGCAACCTTCTCATTCACGGCTCAGAGTTGGCAAAATTTCTTGAATGAGAGGAGCCTTTTTTAATGCTTGGGGGTCAATACTCGTATATCAGGCCGCCAAAACTTCAGCCGGAATTTCTTTTTTGGGGCGGATTAAATATTCTTTTTCTCGAATAATTTCTCCTTGATGATAAATAACGTAACCTATTTCAATAATCTCATTGTATTCCGAAAAAAATCCAGTGGTTTCTAAATCGAAAACGCAATAAGTCAAATTATTTATTTTTTGGTCTAAAATTGCTGTTGAATGGTTAAAAAGATAAGGTGGCAATTTGTCCTCCAACATTTCCATTTCGCAACCGTAAATGATTTTCAAATCCGGACTTTGATGCTGGCTGAACTCTGGAAAGGCTTGAACGTTGTAATGGTCGGTTACTGCCAAAGCCGCGTAATTTTTTTGTCGTGCACTGGCTGCGTAATCGGCTGGACTACTTATTCCATCCAGAGTACTAAATTTGGTATGGACTCCTAATTCCCATAATTTTCGCCCTTTTCATTCCTGTAATAAAGCGGATTTATTTATTTTTTTGCCCTGGCTTATTATAGTTGGGTCATTCGGTAAGTTAAAATTATTTCTTTTTTCTTTTTTGTCTGCGACAAAATGTCTAGTTCGTTTTTCACTATTTCCCTGACTCGCGCCATCATTATTTTTAATCGTGTTTTCTTTTGGTTGAGAAGCAAAACGGAGGTCAGACAGACCTAATTTTTTCAATATTTCTTTCAGGTTAATTAATCTCGGTTTCCATTCGGCAAGCGTTTTTGGGTTCGAAAAAGGTAGATAAACCACACTTCGCCGCCAGGAAAAATTTGTTAAAAGTTCTTTTTGTTCGCAAAAGAAAATTAGGTCTTTTTTGTCTTTTCAAAGAAAAGGGGCAGAACAAAGGAAAACAAAATACTCTTTAAGTTCATTTTTATCAATGGCTGCACCCTCCCGAATTGCCACCTGAAAATCCAGATAATCAAAGAGATAATTCAATTTATTATATATTAAATATAATAATTGGCTAATTTTTGTGGCAGAAAGTAAATGCGGAGCAACAATTTCTAAACGACCAGGTGCTGAGAAATTAATTTCCAACCCGGACCAGTCATTGATAGAGATTTCTTTTTCTATTCCAAGTTTTCTGAAAAATTCGAGGGACATTAGGGAAGGAATTGGCAGGTGTAATATTATAGAATTTTTACAATTTTCTCACTTTCAATGAAGTCTCGATTTTGCCACCAGATATTCGTAGAAAACTCGCTTTTTGTCTGACAATAGCAAAGTCAAAATTGGTGTGTTATCCTTTCTTTTGGGTCTTGGGGTATTTTCTCTTAATAAAAATTATATATTATTAGTTACTAACAATTATTAATGGCAAGTGGATACAGTTATGGCGTTCATTTACGACAAGAACACTGAAAAGGTAAGAAAAAATGAATAAGTTGTTTGACATGTCAAATATACTACACATTGTGGTGTTCGGTTATTTTGTATTCTTGAAAAATATATAATAAACATATGGATAGCGTTTTACAATGAATTTTAATAGTTATAGCCATTTCTGTGCCATCTTTGATTGCGGGTTTATTTAGTTATTTTCTTTACAAAAAGAAAGTCCAAGCCGAAACCGAAAAAATTAAACTCCAAAACAAAATTACCAAAGACATAACCTACGACCAATTAAAAGTCGAGAGCAAGCAAAAAGATATTAAAGGCAAAATTGATATTTTTCAACGTTTAACCAAGTTAGAGGAAGAAATAAAAAGTAAA